CATTAGTGATACTAACACCTCTCAACGCACAGTGACAGTAGAGACCTGATCTATGTACATCTAATACAAGTCAACATGATACCGAATACATAAGTCAACAAGCGATCCACCATGTTGCCTCTTGATGTATCGTCCTCTATCATAGGCTTTTAGTGATGGAGACCTGATGCATGGTTAGTAGGCATTTGTCTTGACGATCGCATCCTTAGTCCGATAATCGTGATTGCAACCATAGTTTGTAATCACCGCGTCGAGCTGTAGCACGGTGGACGGGCGAAAGGAGTGGCCAGGCTATTTGATCGAGTTGTTATTGTTTCTTTGAGCAGGAGCTCCAGACTTGACAACTGTTAGAGTCGACAAGCTTTGTGCTATAGTACTGTCGCCCGTAGCAATGAGTTCTCCGCTTCATGCTTTGCATGTCTTGGAATATCCATCACTTTCGTCTACACAGAGAATTTGTAGTGTTCTCGCATAAATGTGGTTCAGGACTTTGCTAGGGCTGTCTTGTCAATCAAGCATTCGATATTCGACTTTTTTACCTAGCTTAGACGATCTTTTAACCGACGCAACTCCATTGAATGTCAGCAACTTGAAGCTGGCCTTGACTGTTTACGCTAAAAGGCACTGCTCCGCGAGCTCAATTACGGTTCTATGGTGTAAAGCAGTTTAAAGGTCATTCCATGGTAAAGAGCCAGTGTGTGGCTGATGGTGTATTTTGTGTTAGACTGTAATTGCCGCCAAGCCGTCAGTATTCAGGCATGTTGGACAAGGATCAGCGTTAGTGCAAAGCAGGAATAGCAGGGGAAATGAGCGAGTCGGGCCCTGGTAGTGGAGTTCCTGGTCTAATTGTATGACTATACATCTTCTTGTCCTAGGTCAAAGCGTCCTTACCGCAGGAAGAGGAGCATTTCGTACTTCAATTTCTTCATTGTAAAACGTTTCACATGAACTGAAGAATGATGTTTGGCTAAAGCCGGTAAACTCTCCATGGCTGCGAGAATGCCAGGAATGTGGGACACTGTCGAAGACTTTCTTAAATAATCAATTGTCGGCACGCCCATTCCTAAGTTCCTCTTGAGCTTTTTTTTGGACTCATGCATGATCAATCATGTTACTCGATAGAAGTTATCATTGGCATCCGCTGCTAGACGGACTCGTCTACAGCCTTTCCTGACTATTTGTGAGGATTGCACGCTCCTTCTGTACAGTGATTGTAGAGCCGGCTTGTGCTGATTATGCAGGGCAGTGAGAATCTTCGAGTAGGCTGGTAGGCAGGCAAAGAGATTGGTCTGATAGTTCTACAGAGTTCTTAATTTCCTGCGCTTTTGAAGAAGCAAAGTGATTCTGATGTCAACCATCTTAGGGCTAATTCGCTTGGAATATCCGCTTGATTGATCGTCATTTTAAAGGCCCTGGTTATTTGTTTATGGAGGCTACTTAAATGCGTAATCCAAGAAGTTTAGGGCCACTTGGTTCTGGGGCCAGGAACTTGGCCAAGTTGTGGGTTCTGCTATTGAATGGGCACTGCGTACCTCCACACCATTGGTACTGCAGTCCCATACATGCGCATATGCTCACATATCTAGGAAATGCTTCTCCTCCTTTGTTCTGATCCAATAGTGCGCTGGTATTGTGGTGTGTTCCCAACTTCCTATGCAGGTATTCTCACTGGCCAGAAAAGCGAGGTCGGCTCTTAGAGAGAGAGGTTCATTGAATGTTGGCTTTGCTGCTCGTTGAGATGTTCCGGTAGACGATTTTTTGTGCATCTTATGAAAGAGCCTGTATTGATAGTAGCTGTGCTACACATCTGCTTAGTAATCCTCACTCACTCGTGAGCCTTTTGCTCTAGTAGCTTTCACCTTAATTGATCTTAGTTTTAGGAGCTCGCAATACTGGGTGCTCATTCTTCTACAACCTTCGGCTCTATGCAAAATGTCTCCTGCGCCATTGGTATGATGTCACTTGCTTTGTTGATGACTGACTTCTTTTTTGTATCGCTTAATGGATGGGAGAGGTCCCTTATCAGGCGATGGTTTTACAATTTTGTTCTGATCTCTTTCGTTTCCCTATGTTGGGTTCCGCTTTGTGGGCACATTTGTGACTCTCTCTCTCTTTTGTGCTCTCAGCAATAACAACACACAGTTCCGCGTACATTAAATTCCATTGATTTCTTGGAATAAGTTTAAGATGGTAATCTTTGATGATAATTGGTGAGGGCTCGAATTTGCAAGCTTTGAATAATTGTCCGCGTATTGCCTTTGTTGAGATGACACCTTTTTCATGCTTCTGTGTTGATCCGCAGGGGAGATTGCCTGAGTTCTTACAGGGGACGCTTAGTAGAGATTCGATCTTCCATATCCACACTTACTGATTCACCTTCAAGGTATCCGTATGCTTGCGTGTTGTGTCAGGCCTCGGGCTCTGGGGGTTGTAAGTCTTTGGTTCGATTCAGAGTTTGTTCGATCATTATTTGCTTTCGGCAGCTGCCATTAACATTGCTCGAGGCTCATGTCGCTGGCATTTCTTGATTCTTAATAATGCCACCTCTCTGTATTAACCAGAGTATTGAGGAGTTGGTGCTGCGGAAATGTTTGGATTCCTGCCTCGCGATAGACAGAACGTTGTAGTGTCAGCCTATCATTAATACTCTGACCCCGCTCGATTAAGTGTTTTCTCATTGGTGAAATATATATGAGCAATCTCATCCTTTATGATCCTTTTGCCCTACTGGTATCTGTTTTTCTGCTGGTTATTTCGTGCGTATGGTGGTCTCGCTTGGCGTAGGTACTGTGCTCTCCGAGTGAATCTATTATGTTAATTTATCTGTAATTATTATTATATAATATTATTATGCATCAGCAGGCGTGTGCACGCGTGACTGTGAGCGACTTCTGTGTTTGCTCCGTCTCTACGTCGATCAAACCAGAACGCACGCGATGTCAGCAACAATCCAGACTTCCAAATCCTCAAACATTTTCATTGTCTGTCTCCATTTACGCGTGTTTGTTAAAGTATTGTGATGACCGCTAGCGAAGCTGGGGAAGATTGTTTACACAGGCGACAGCAGTGAAAGCAGCGCATGCAACTAGTAATTAAATAAACATGCGCGGCATCAGCGACGACGTACTGCGAGGTAACGCCAGACTTTAAATTGTTCGCTGACGTTTTTGCTGAAACGTTAAACGCAGGCGCCTGTGAATCGACGAGCGACGATGTAGGTTTTATTGCTGTAGCGTGTGTATCTTGCTTCATTCGTGCATGCGTGAGCGGTGGCGGCGGCGCACGCACGCACCTGGGAGTGCGTAACCGACAGGTAAACACGGTGTGCCGTCAGCCGTCTCTCTCCCTCTCTCACCTGCTCACACCTGTACCGTCGACAATAACCTCTTCCCTACTTACCTCTACAGGTAAAAACTTTACAGACTGGCTGGGAAGTTATGCTGATGATCTCGAGAGGGATTTGTTCCCGGTTGTTGGTGGAGCGATTCTCAAGTAGGTGGAGATTTATCCGTGATATTTGTATATTTGTGACAGTTGTAGTCAATATGTGTGTGCAATCATAACATAAATATATTCACACACGGTCATGATATACCCTCTTAGCTCCCCATCAGTACCTCCTCTTCTCCCTCCCCCTCCTCCTCCACCTCCTTACCCACCTCCTTATGCTCTTCTGCATAATCCTTCTCCTCCTCCTCCTTCTCTTCCTCCTCCTCCCTCTCCTCGTTACCACCTCCTCATGCTCTTCAGCATTACCCTTCTCCTCCACACTCCGCCCCTCCCCCTCTCCCTCCTCTACACAGATTAATTTAGATTGTGTTGTTGTTGTTGTTGTTAGGTTTCCCTACGTCGATGATTGCGTGGAAACCACCGGTAGCTTCACAGTGAGAGTTGCTACGTGTTTCCTACCAGAACTCAGTTCCATCCACCCTCCTCATTTCTTCTTCACCTACAGAATAACGCAAGTCTACAAAATTAATACCAGTAGTGACGGTTTATTCCCGGTTGGCCTACTCCCATTTCGCCTACTCCCAATTTATCTACGCTCAAAATCTACCCCATTTCCATTTCGTCTACGATCGGTTTATTCACTAAATAATCATTTATAAATAATAAAATATGGTTTTGATTGGCATACATAGACTACAGGAACCAGAAGAAAATATAGGTACAAATAATGAGAACACAACTAGACAAAAATAGAAAATACAGTAGCATAAAAATGAAACAATGGGAGTAGGCCAAATGGAAATATTGCCGATTCTGAAAATAAACGAAATGGGAGTAGGCGAAATGGGACGTAGGCGAACTGGGAGTAGACCAACTGGGATGTTACTGTAGTGACATCCACCTGCCATGCCACAAACAATAACTACTGTAATGATATTTACCCGTATATGATATTATTTGATGTGGTACAATAATATTTATATAATACATCAATGTAGTTAAAACTATTCAAGGTGGCAGTTACAATGGTGCCGATGTAGGTTATTTTATTTTAGTTAGATCTTCATGATGAGTTTTGTTCAGTGGTGTTTTGCCAGATATTTTATGATGGTTGTCATTTTTAGTACATTTATCAGTAAATAATGCATATTTTACATCATAATGATGATGATGATGATATTATTATTATTCTTATTATTATTATCATTAGGTTTAATATTGTTATTCTGTTTATTATTATATGCTGTAATTAGTGCTAATAATCACTGGTAGGATGAGCATGAGGATAGATGCGCCTGTGTCGGAGATCTGTCGTCTTTACACGCGTCACTGGTTCATCACGGATGCTGACGGCAAGGAAGAGACTGTCACAGGACCAGGTGTCGTTGGTAAGTCATTGTGCCTCCCCTACCTCCTCCTCCTCCTTTATCCCGTGCTTCCTCTCTCGCCTCTCCTCCCCTACCTCCTCCTCCTCCTCTATCCCGTGCTTCCTCTCTCGCCCCTCCTCCCCTACCTCCTCCTCCTCCTCTCCTCTCTTGGCTGTCCTCTCTTCGCCCTCCTACCCTACCGTCATCCTACTCTCCTCCATCTTAATCCCCGTGCTTCCTCTCTCACCGTCCTCTCCCCGTTCCTCCCTCACTCCTCTATCCCGTGCTTCCCTCTCTCGCCTCTCCTCCGCCTACCTATCTCCTCCTCACTCTCCCTAATCCCCATGCTTCCTCACTCGCCCCTCCTCCCCTACCTCATCCTCCTCCTCTTCCTCTATCCCGTGCTTCCTCTCTTGCCTCTCCTCCTACCTTATCGCTCCTCCTCCCTCCTCACTCTATTCCCATGGCTTCCTCACTCGCACCTCTCCCCTACCTCATTCTCTTCTCACTCTTTCCTCTATCTCCGTGCTTCCTCTCTCGCTCTCCTCTCCCCTACCTTTCCTCTCTCCTCCTCCTCCTATCCCATGCTTCCTCTCCACGTCTCGCCCTCCTCCCCCTACCTTAGTCCTCCCTCCTTTCCTCTATCCCGTCTTCGCTTCTCTCCGCCCTCCTCCCGCTAATCCCCGTACCTATCCCCTCCTCCTCCTCCTCCCTCTATCCCATGGCTTCTCCGCGCCCCTGCCTACCCCTGACCTCATCCTCCTCCTCTTCTCTATCCCCGTGCTTCCCCTCTGCCTCTCCTGCCTCGTACTCCTCCTCACTCCCTACTCCTGTGCTTCCTCTCTCGCCCCTCCTCCCTTTCCTCCTCTTCCTCCTCCTCCTCCTCTATCCCGTGCTTCCTCTCTCACCCCTCCTCCCGTTACTCCTCCTCCTCTATCCCATGCTTTCTCTCTCACCCCCTTCCCTACTCCTCCTACCCGCCTTCATTCTTCTCCTGCATCCCCCAATCTTCTTCCACGCCCTCAGTCTTCTCCCTTCCCTTCTCTCCTCTCCTCCCTCTCTGCTCTCTCCTCCCTTCCTCAGTCCCTCCTCTATTCTCCCAGCCTTCTCCATTCTCTTCTCTCCTCTCCTTCCTCTCTGCTCTCTCCTCCCCTCCTCAGTCCCTCCTCCATTCTCCCAGCCTTCTCCCGTCAATTCTGCTTTGTCCACTATCCCTCATCCTTGCCCTCCTCTATCCTCCTTCCCTCGTGCAAGAGAACGATGAGAAATGAGAGAGAGGCGAGTGCGTCACTGTAACTCCTTTCCCTCTCCTCATGTATCTGCTCTCTTTCTCTATTCCTCCTGTCTCCTCGCTCTTCTCTCCTACTGCTCTGCTTCCTTCTCCGACTCCCAATCCTTCTCTGGCTCACGCTGTTCCTGTTTAACCGTCCCTTCACCCCTCCATCTCTTTCTGTCCCTCCTTCCCCTCTTTCCTCTGTTCAATCTCTGCCCTACATCTCCATTCCTCCTTCCCCCTCCCTCTCCACTCCTCCTTACCCTTCCTGCCCCACTCCCTCCGCCTGCTGTTTCTCACGCGTACCGTCATACTCTAGCTATACATGCAGAATATGTATTAAGTCTCTCTATATATAAACGTAGGGCGTTGTTGGCCCACGTGCCTAGTCCCACTTGTACTTTGTACACCCACTTCTGTGTGTGTGGGGGTGAGTGGCGCGCCGCGCCGTGCGTGTCGTGCTCGTGTGTTAATTGAGTGTGTGTGTGTGCGTGCGCTGCCGTCGTGCGTGCGTCGGCGTGCGGCGTGCGTGCGTCGCGTGCGTGGTCGGTGTGTGTGTGTGTGTGGTGTGTGTGTGTGTTGTGTGCTGTGATGTGTGCGCGCGGTGTGTGTATGTATGTGTGTTAAAATTACGTAAAATGGTTTCCTACGTGCGTGTCCGTTTACCTGCAGCAGATGGCCAGACATAATGGTTATGTTGATTATGATGTACGTTGAGCGCACATGCGTGAGTGAGCGCACACATGCGTGCTGATGATAACGGAAAGCCAGGAATCACAGTAAATGTTACATTTATTTAACGTCCGTGGAGGGAGTCGAGATTTGAACTGACTCGTGCTGCACTCTCCGCTAATAAATACTCATATAGGCAATCAGTGTCAGAATCCGGTCATATTGCTCTACCCACCTAACCACCTCCCCCCTTGCAGAGCCACTGGGTTGTTTGTAGATGTAAATGACAGACGTTACAGTGGCGTATCGAGAAAATGATGTAGAGGGGCGAAATGTACCATATTAGGGGACCGCGTACCGTAGGCACGTGATCGCTAGGGGGTTTGGGGGCATGCCCCCAGAAAGTTTTGAAATATTTAAGCCATTTTCCTGCATTCTGAGGCATACTGTGGGCTATATTCTGATTTCTGTTGACACTATCTCAACCCTATACTCAATCCTACAATTTAGAGTATTTAAAATACGTTACTATGTATTAAACACTATAGTATTAATACATGTATTAAAATAAGAATTGCAACACAAGATATAGCCTGATAAGTCCTTTAACATGTTTAATGACACTAAAAAGGAAACGCACTTGATCATGTTGATGATTAGCTACGATTGTTACACATGTCAGGGTGATGACAATTAGGCCTACTAATAATTGCTACTGAGATGTTCAGGTCAGGATTGTGTGTTCGGGACCTTAAGCGTCCCCCATGGGGTTTGCCAATAACAACTTTCGATGCTTCCTTCTGATGAAGATGTTGACCACCTTATCTATTTGCAAAGGGAGGTCCTTGTGGAGCAACAGAAGCAGTAGGGCGTTCAGTTAGACGTTACCCCTGAAGACCCCACTTGGGGTGCAAACGGCCTGCAAACGGGGGGGGGGGCGGCGTACGCCGGCTCCGCCCTAGGCTGGATACGCCACTGCGTTATGTAAACGCCGCAGTTCGTTTGAAGTGTCACTGAGCAATAGATACTGCGGTAAGCAGGAGCGTTTCTACGATAGACCAATATTGACACATATGGTGACAATTAAAGATAAACGCTTGGATATACCCGCACGTCAATAAGTGAGATCGGAAAGTCCAGCTATGCTATGTAGGTCACAGAAAAAAGGGGTCTAAAATGGCCGAGGCGCGCTTAGGAAAGTACATGATTAATGTAAACACTTGTGCGTTTTTAGTTTTTGCATTTACACAAACATTGAAAAATATCCCAAACGACCACAATCATATTGTAAATGTTTATGTAAACAGAAACGCACCTGTAAATTGAAATACGATGTTAGTGAAGATAATTATAGATCAAAAACTTAGAATAGTCCTATCCTATCCATGTTATAAAAGGGCAGTTTATACCCCCTCTTATCTGATCTCAATATGGCGGCGGGGACTTTCCGATATGGCTTATACGGCAGCCACTGTAATATAATTGAATTTCATTATCCATAACATAAGCGATCATCCATATAAATGAATAGAATTGTACGAGTGATAAGCGACAATAAACAATAGAACCCCCTCTTGTTAGCAGAACATGGCATCTTGAGTGACTGATTTTACAGCCACTACTGATGACGTCACAACACATCACGAAATGTTATGAAAATTGGAAGATCGATATTCTGGTTCTAGGAGGACTACCTAGTAGGGGCTAGTGCGCGCGTGTGTGTGGGGGGGGGGGTGCATATGTGCGTGTGTGTGGGTGTGCGTGTGGGGGGTGAGTTGCGGGTAGTGGGGGTGGGGTGGAGTTGTGGGTAGTGGGGGTGCGGGTGGAGATTGGATAGGATATGTAGCTAGAGGGGTGTGGGGTGTGATGGTGGGAGGTGTGAGGGGGTGAGGTGTGGGGGTGTGTGTGGTGGGGGGCGGGGGGGGAGGTTCTGGTAATACATTCTCAGGAGAATGTATTCTTGAAGATTTACGAGAATTGAACAAACTCCAGCCCCGCAATGACATGATGTATGATGTATCACTACTCTCACGCAGGCTGTGCAATGTGCGTTAATCACCTGTGTGTATGTTAAACATCATTAGCTTATCTTTATTTAGTACAATGAAGCGTGTTCCTTCTAGCGTGATTTAACCACAGCCCTTCAAAAAAGCGATTTCATAGTTGTTATTGGCAAATAGACAGCACTAAAAATTTCACTCTCGATTATTAAATTATGCCTTATTATCATTAGGAATATGTGAGTGCTGTGACGTCATCGGCGCCACGGTCATTACGCTGCGGCGAAGCAGTTGATATACCTGTTACTCCTCAGTACATCGCACCCGAACCTATTACATAGCAGCTTTATAATGCTATACCTGGCTGTAGTATCAAGCCATGTATGTGGGGGCTGTGCCTGAAATGTTTCTACTTTACCTTTGATAATTAGAGTTTATAGACGCACAGATCGTGAGAGCAGAGGCGGAGTATAATTATACCCGGTACACACTACAAATTTTACATGGTATTAAACTAGCGCGCGGCAAATTTTTGTAGTGTGTATACACGCTATCCCACTCCAAATAAGCGCTGGCCCGTTCCAATTTGACCCCGCAAATGAAGGAGGGTTAGGGCCCGAGGGCGCGATGTCACAAACAACATTAATCCTAACTTTAGTCTCAACATGAAAACCTTTATCGTAGACTGGACCTTACAATGCTGCACGCTATACACTATGAGTGATTAATTCATAACTTTACCACGTTTCTGGCAACGTTGTATAAGAAAACGTTAATGTCAAGACTAATGTTAAAACTATTTTTGTTTCTGACAGACTGGCACCAGCGCACTATAGAAGAACCATTGTTAGTTAATTGTCGCATACTTATGTTACAGATATATACATGGTCGCGTTGGTCGGTATAGACGGTTTAATCTAGTAAGAGTAGGATGAAGTAAGAGTGAATGAGCTTGAGTTTGAGAGTTTGAGAGTGGCCACATAGAGGCAACACGTTTATTTTACCGGCTAGTGTCATTGTTTATTCTATCACGGGATACATCATAGCCTGCCATACTGTGAGGATTTCTCATAGGT